ATGGGTATGGGTATGGGTATGGGTATGGTATGTGTATGTGTATGTGTATGTGTATGTGTATGTGTATATGTGTATGTGTATGTGTATGTGTATGTGTATGTGTATGTGTATGTGTATGTGTATGTGTATGTGTATGTGTATGTGTATGTGTATGTGTATGTGTATGTGTATGTGTATGTGTATGTGTATGTGTGTGTATGTGTATGTGTATGTGTATGTGTATGTGTATGTGTATGTGTATGTGTATGTGTATGTGTATGTGTATGTGTATGTGTATGTGTATGTGTATGTGTATGTGTATGTGTATGTGTATGTGTATGTGTATGTGTATGTGTGTATGTGTATGTGTATGTGTATGTGTATGTGTATGTGTATGTGTATGTGTATGTGTATGTGTATGTGTATGTGTATGTGTATGTGTATGTGTATGTGTATGTGTATGTGTATGTGTATGTGTATGTGTATGTGTATGTGTATGTGTATGTGTATGTGTATGTGTATGTGTATGTGTATGTGTATGTGTATGTGTATGTGTATGTGTATGTGTATGTGTATGTGTATGTGTATGTGTATGTGTATGTATGTGTATGTGTATGTGTATGTGTATGTGTATGTGTATGTGTATGTGTATGTGTATGTGTATGTGTATGTGTATGTGTATGTGTATGTGTATGTGTATGTGTATGTGTATGTGTATGTGTATTTGTATGTGTATGTGTATGGATATGTGTATGCGTATGCGTATGCGTATGCGTATGCGTATGTGTATGCGTATGTGTATGCGTATGGGTATGGGTATGCGTATGGGTATGCGTATGGGTATGGGTCTGCGTATGGGTATGGGTATGCGTATGCGTATGCGTATGCGTATGCATATGCGTAAGCGTATGCGTATGCGTATGCGTATACAATTAAAATAATGATCTTTGATTTATATAGTTGGAATTTGTACCTTTCTAAGGTTAGGAATAAGAATTTGGAGCTGTAGGAGACAAAAGCTGATGAGGTGGGAGAGGCGGGGGAGGAGGAGAGGGGAGGAATACAATGGTGGTGGTGGTGGTAGGTATTTGAAAAAAAATGGAAATTAGAATTTTTTAGATATATTAAATATAAAATTATTGTTTAATGGCTTATTTGATGTTTTAGTAGTATTTTAGGAGCAAAAGTAAATTATTAACCGTTTTGTTAATGTTTTCATGTCATCAATTTAATGGAGATGACGGTGGATAAACCATTTTGTTACAAAACGATAACGTTAGTGATCAATTTGTAACTTTTTAAACTTACTAAGGAAAACAAAAACTTACCCAAACTTTAGTGACCATTTATGTAGTTTACCCTTTATTTTTTGAGAGTTTATTTTTTATGGTTAAATTAGTTATAGGACGACTTTAATTTGATTATTAATTTATTAGTTTTTAATTAAACTATTTTAATTATTTAAATGATGTTAATAAATAAAATAATTTATTATGAATAATTAACATAGATTAAATGTGTAGTTAAATGTCACTTCATTATTTTGTTAAATACTAATTACATGTGAGTTAACTAATGTCATTTAGACACATCAATGATATGATTAAAAAATAATCAATCAGTGACCAATTTAAAATTATTTTATAATTAAATAGTTATTCACGTAATTTACTCATTCTTATAAGAGTGCATTTGAACAAATAATTTTAAAATTTAAAGATTCTAAAAATCATATATTTTAAAATTCATCCATTCAAATTATTAATAGTTTCATTATTTTGAAAATTATTTTCTAGAAAAACTGACATTTAAATTAATTTCATTAAAATGAAATACCCTTCTAAAGCGTAAATAGGGAAACGACTTCGAAAACCGACTACTTAATCAAGTCCGAGTTAAAATGACGATGATTAAAACATTCAACTTATGCAAATCTAAAATAGAGATACTCATAATGTGTGTAGGAACACTTCAATTCGTTTAACTAGAAATTCTTAAAGAAATGAAAATCCTAAGAGAAAAATCATAGAACATGATGAATAAAATCACGTTTAAGTCTCGAGTTGAGTCATTCTATGGTACTCCCTCGATCATGGGGTGACAAATTTATTATACTTTCGGAGATATAATTTCATCTCCGGAAATATAACTTCCTCGCCAATCTACTAAGATCACATTCGAAGGGACTTGCTGGAGACCAAAGCATCCTTAACAATACCTTTGATAAACTAGAGAGATTTTTCAAGACCAAATTCACTCATTGGTGGATGCATTTATACACTTTGTTAACATATACATATCAATTATGACTCTAGACATAACACTACCATGTAGAAAGTCAATATATAAACTCAGGTCCGTTTTAAAAGATGTGGAGGTCTTGTGCTATTATTTAAAATAAGACCCCTAATATATTTTTCCCCGTTAGATATCATGATTTTAATGGATTTTTTAGGAAAAATGATTACAATTCATTTATTGTGGGTTTTTAGGAAGAAAATATTAAAATTTATTTATTGTGTTTTTTTTGAAAGAATGATTACAATTCATCTATTGAAATAATAAAGTAGAAAGTTAAAAGATTTTTTTAAACTTTATCATGAAAATTAATAAAGGAATGATAGCAAATTTTTTGGGAAAATAATTTTTTATTAGCAGATTTTTTTAAAGTGAGGACTCCTAAAATTTTGGGTCTTATGACATATCACATCTTACATGTGTAAAGGGACGAGTCTGTATAAACTCGAATAACAAGTAGAAAAATGAATTACTTGTGAGCATTTTTCCTGCAACTTTCTCTTCATATCTTTCATCGTTACCATTATTGACTAACGTTCGATCTTTTATCAATTACGGTTCCTTATCCAAACATAAGGAATGAATAGACTATCCCAATATATTTTCTCATTCCTATCAACATAAATTAATCCAATAATTATGTGATTAAATAGGTAGTTTACCCACACTTTAATATAAAGTAAATTTTTAATACTAATATTATAATCGTTGAATGATTAATACTAATATTATTGATTAATCCATTTTGCTTTGGTGTTTCCCTTTTAATTTGAATATGTTATTACTCTTTATTACTTCAGTGTTTTTTGTGTGTCACTTTGACACTTTCAGTATATATCATTATATTACTTCACTGTTTTTTACGTGTCACTTTCATTATATAGCATTGGTAACAATATTTTGCCTTTGCAGCAACATTGTCCAATAGCAGTTCTCCATTGCAGCAGAGGGAGAAAATTTACCTTGTAGCGGTGTCTTGAGGTTTATTTGCTTTTCCTTAACCCATTTCAATCTTAAAATAGATTCTTGGTGGTTATGCATCTTAGCTGGCCTGATTGTTCAAGACTTGTCCCTTGCTCAGTCAAGACTATCTGCCATCTAAATAAGAGAAACAAGTTAATGAAGTACTCTTGTATGAAGAATAGTGGCAGGTGATGGCAAGAGGATTATTTAACTTCCTAATGAGTGGATGTCCCTAAAATATTAATATCTATTCCAATATTTAATCAAGTCAATGATTTGGTTAGTACCAAGTTTTGATAGTTGTGTCAAGCAACTTCAAGTAGATCGTTCAAATTATGACTGGTGTCACCATGAAAATTGGCAAGCACACATTTAAAATAAAAATTTAATGATCAATGGTGTAGAGATAAATTACATTCAAAGGTAGAGAAGTGATTCGGGATTCATCCTATCATCCCATTTTGTAGGAAAAAAAACATATGCGTCTACCCATTTCTCTTCTCCTTCCCCCCAAAAGCCTATTTATATTACCATATAATTTTTCTGCATACATTGCTTGATTGATCTGACTTTGATTATCGTGCTATCCCTTGATGACGTTAATATTTATAATTTATTTATTCATTATTATTTGATTATCTGATGTAACTATTGCTTTTGTAGATTGCACCTGATTGGAGGCAAGCTTTAGTCCTTAAAAATGCAGTTGAGGATCGTATTGCTAAAGGTGATAACTAGAATTCTCTTACTAATTCTGATATTAAAGTAGTGCACAGGATAGCATGGACTGAATGGATCACATTTATTTACATGCAGATTGTGTTATTAGGATTGGCATCACTGCTACTGCTTTGGGACTCATCACTGGTGGAATTGCATTTGTCGGTATTTGTTCAAATCCTTGAGGCTTGGCGCCTCTGCATTTTGCAAAATTTTCCCAGAGAATGTTTTTGAATAATCTGCAGTTGTAAAAGTTTAGCATCTGTTTAATTTTCAGATGAATTCCTCTAACGGTTGGTCCACCCTTGTTTTTACTCGCAGAAGTTAGAATTTCATTAACTGTATTATTAGAAATGATAATTACACATTACATTTGATAATTAAATGGTGAAAAGTTAGTTTACTGTACTCATCTATGATTCTTAAAATGATCAGTAGATCATATGATTTGAATGGAATGAAAAATATGACAATATTACTTCTTTAGTTTATCAATGGTGAAGTGTATGTCTGTGTGTTTATAGGAAAGCTCTTAATCTTTTTAAGATTAACCTGTTTCTCTTCTATACTGTACTTCTTCAAGAGCCTTTGCTTCTCATGTTTGGTTAGTACCTGCTGGTTGGGCTTTAAGCACATGCTTTGTGATATTAACTAGTCAGTAATCTGAGGACAAGGCAAGACAAAGAGCGGTATTAAGGGTATAAAATGGTTTGAATAAGTTGCATATTACGAGGGTAAAAAAGAAAAAGAAGGAAAGAAAGATGACCTCCCAAAGGATCGTTTGGTTTACGATTACTTTTAGGAAAAAAATTATCAAAATGTAACATTACTTGATACTATTACTTTTTTTTTTAAATAACCAGGATATTTTATTTATCAAAAGTTGTATCTGTCAATACACATTTTCGTCCGGATACAACACTCTAAACAATCCTGATTTAGTGGGATTCAGAAAACAAACATAGCGTTAGAGTTTTACTAGGATTCAAACTCCTAAAAATAAGATAGAGTTTTACTAGGATTCAAACTTCTAAAAATAGGATAGAGTTCTACTATAATTCAAACTCCTAAAAATAGGATCCAGAAGCATTATAAATAGCAATTGTAACTCACTATTGTAACACACGATTTACATACAAAATACAGAGGAAAACACGAAAAAATACAAAGGCAAAACTATTGTAAACGATTCGAAAAGGAAATAAAAGGTAGCATCTTTTTTTACCTTGATTCGTTCATTTCTCGCATGTGCATGTTATTTTTCTTGAGATTTGGTTCGAATAACCCAAAAAGTGGGTTGCGCCTATGACCAAAAAGGGGTGGGGTTTCAAAATTTCGAACCTAAATCTACCCCGAGGCGTATTGCTATTTTTAAATATTCAATTCTCCACCTAAATCAATTTTTTTCTTCGAAATTTGCCCATTGATTTGTTTTTCCTTTTGATTCGATCCCTTACATTTACGTTTTAATTATTATTATTTTATTTATTTACCTTTATTTATACGCACATTTCCTTTATTAGTCATTTTATTTAATTGCTTTGTTATTTTTTTTTCATGTAATATATTTTTACATTTTATGCATTTTCTTTTTTACTTTAGTATATATTTTTTATTTTTTTAGATTACATATATATATATGTTATTTTTTTTATGTTTTTATTAATTTTTATATATATTTACTATTTTTTTATGTTTTTATTTATTATATATATATATTATTTTTACTTTTTATTATTATTTTATTTATATATTTTTTCTTCTTTTTCTTTATTTCTTTATATTTTTTTATTTATTTTACTTACTATTTTATCTTTGCTTTCTTTATCTTATCTTTTATTTAATTTGTTTTTTTCTTCATTTTAATTAATTAATTAATTTATTTATTTCTTACCTTTTTATTTAACATAGTTTCTTGACCTTCTTAAGGGCACACCTTTAAAACTATCTAAGGTAAGTAATTGTGATCGTATTTTTACCTTTTAATTTTAAATTACAATTTTCTTAATTTAAGACAACTGAAAATTGTGTAGTACCGAAAGGGCAGTTCAAGGGTGTTAACCTTTCCTTGACTGTAACCGACTCTCGAATCCGACACATCTTTGGAAAGACGCAGATCAGGTAAGAAATAGGGTATCCGATCAACCCATTTGTTTTAAAATAAATGATCGGTGGCAACTCCAATTCGTTTAATCCAAGTTGAAGCCTAAATTCGGGGTTAACCCGAAAGACGTTTACGATAGCTTGGCAACTCCGCTAGGAACAGGTAAGTGAGTCAGGCTAAGGTAGTTTCCAGTTGTCTTTTTAACAAAAAGGGTAAGTCTAAATTTTAAGGTAACATTTCGATCCTTATTGTTTACTTTTGATTATATTTTTGAGTAAATAGTTGTACTAACCGTTTTCTAATGATTTCAGCCTCCCAAACTTGTTTTTCACTTAAGGCTCTAAACCTGAGCTCCGAACCCTATTTAAGTGAAGGTAAAAGCGATGTCTGCGTGTGAATTTATTCACTGCACAGGCCTAGCAAGTAGCCTTCAGGATCCATATACCTTATGTCTTCGTGTGAATTTATTCACCGCACAGACATAAGGGAATGTGTCCTCTCGAGTTTAACTTAGTCCACACAAGCTTGTAATAGGCTTAGAACTAAGGGTCTGGCAAGCCCAAGGGGGCACCAGCAAGGAGAACTCAGGTACCTTTTTTTTAGAACCTAAACCGAGAGAGTACAGGGAATTACAGTCCACCCTAAAACCTCATTTCCAAACCCTAGGTTGCTTTGATATTATTTTATGCTTTATTTCATATTCAAAGCATGTGAACTAGAAATTTATGCGGTTAGGACTTGTTTAAAATCAAATTGCGGGATAGAGATCATGTCCGGGTAGGAATCATGAGCATGTGGGGTATATATCATACAGGGTAGGACTTTTATTTCCATGACTGATTTAATTATTTTTGTCTCACTAACTCTTTTCGTTTTTGTTCTTTTTATTTTATTTTCATCATTTGCATCATTCAAAAGAGGTGTTGATCCATCAAAAACGTGGTTGTTAGACATAAATAATTTGCATTAATGGACAAAGGGGTTGTAATACAAGAGATGAAAATGCAGAGGATAATCTACAAGGCGACTATGTGTCACATTCAATCCAGAAGACGTGGTGCCCACAATTGAAGAGTATATTACTCTGCTGCATTATAAAGGACTCAAAATGAACCGCGTCAACATCAAGCACAATGAAAGTCTATCTTGGAAGAACTGACTGTCAGAGGTTGCAGGGGCAAGATAAAGGTTACTGATCTTGGGGGTCCCTTCAAATACAACAATGGCAAAATGATAGCTGAAATTGGAGACCATTGCTGATGAATTCAAGAAACAGACAAATGAATTTCACATAGTTCTTATCAATTGAGGGCTCCAATGACGTATTCGTTGAGAACATGTTCAACAGAAGATAAATGCCAGAGATGCAGTCATTCAAGACTTCTTGGACTAGTACAAAAAGCAACTCAACATTTGCACGGTTCATCCAGAGAAGCCGGAGCGGTTCGACAGGTTATTCAACCGGTGACAGATGAAGGCAGAAGACTAGTCAACATGTCAGAAGCTGTCAGGATATTTTTGTCTCTTAAAAGATAAAACATTTTTGTCCCCAATAAGGATTATTTATAATAACATACATGTTTTCGGATCAATGCCTAGATCATTTCATGCATTTTTGCATCTACATTTCATTTTTAAGCATTTTTATAAACATGAAATTTCTTCATAGAGGATTCGATGAAGTGGTCCTAATCACGTGACACCACATAGAAGCGAGATTTTAACAATTAAAAAAACTAAAATCAATACAGTGGGAGCCTGATCAGCTGATTGTAGGACAAAGCCTGCCAGGTTGATCTGAGAACAGAATCCCCAAATCCTAAGGGCTACGATGTTGAAGATGTGTGCAGTTACCACATAGGAAGCTTCAGATACTCCTCAAAGAACTATAAGGCACCGAAGCGCAAAATCCAAAATCTAATGGATTCAGGGGCATTGACAGCCGAAGAAGGGGACATTGCATATACCATTTGCACTTAGAGCATTGTTTTGTTTGAACACGGCTTTGATCTTTCATGTTTGCTTAATATTTTAAATGATTGAACTTATGCTATTGTCTAAGGTGGAGCAATTGAACAAATTTTAATATTTAGTTCTTCGAATATTAAATGAATTAAGGATTCTTTTAATTCTTCAAGAATTATAGATTTTTGACATATGGAAAGATTAGACATTTCTTATACTGTCTCAAACCCCAAAATAAAATACCTTGATTCTTTACCCAAAATAACTCATGGTCATTACCAAAAAGACAAAATTTTGACATTACCTCCCTTTGAAATTTTTTAACAATGCATTTATCTTTTTGATACCCCATACCTTTCTTTGAGTCAATAAAAGCACACCATTGTCTTTTTAGACTCAAAATTGACATTTTTATACCATTAAAACCCAAGGCATTGAGTTGTTCATTTGAACATGAGCATTCTTCTAAGACACAACTTGGGGCATCTCGTAGGGAGCTTGAACATTGAGACATGTTGGGGGCAAGAAGCAGAAAGAAGAATTCACTCGAAATAATTCTATCATGCATTAATTACACTGTTTTTATGTGAATAAAATTAGTCCTAAAAATCTATCCCCCTGGGGATACCTCTTCTGTGAAAGCTTCCATGTATGAAATGATGAACGGTTTTCTTTCTTTACCCCTTCACAACAGGAGAAAATATATATCCCTTGTGTCCCCTTTTGAGCCTATAGTATTTTTCTTCAGATTCAACCCTAACCAAGGATCATCCTCCACACTGGGGGGTAAGGTGGAGAAAATCTGCTCGCATGAGTGAAGATATTGATTCAGATGAGATACTGAAAGGTGAACCAAATGCCAAGTGCGAAGATTCAATCAGAACAAAAAGAGAAAAAAAAAAGAAAATAAAAAGAGAAAATAAAAAGAGAAAAACAAAGGAAAATTGAAGAAAAAAGAAGACAAGATGCATATGCAAAGATTCTCTCGATTCAAATGACGCATCGAGATTCAAACTATGAGATTGATCAAGCACAATCATTTCCGAATCACTGAACCATTTCACTCGAAGATCATAGAGCATTAAATGAGATTGATCAAGCACAATCATTTCTGAATCAATGAATCACTCCACTCGAAGATCATAGAGCATCAAGAGAGAGAGACATACGAGCATATTCAAATTGAGCAAGATATGATTGAACACATCAGAATGAATTGATCCTTGATTCAATCACCTTTAAACACTTGTTTGAGCCTTTTATCCCTTTCTTTCATAACCATAAACCATGACCTACGTTACGTGCCTTAAAAGTCCCTTCTAATCATACATGGATATCTAAACAGAAGAGGTTATCTTCAGATTTCATCTCGCCCATCAGGATTAATCTTTATTTGCAAAAAATAGTATAATTAAAGTATGATAGAGAAAAATAACAAAGGGGGGTTCAAGACGTAAATTACGAATGACGTCTTGAAACCAAAGGAGGATTCGAGTTGAAAACCTGAAAAGGCAGCTCGAATACAAAAATTGGGCAGCTGAGGCGATCACACAAATTCCTTGATAAGGCATCGCACAATCCGAGCGTGACCATGAAAGCTGGGAATCGGAGAACACTTCCGATAGAGGCGCATACAAGCTACCCCATCAAACCTTTGAGCATCAAATAAACAAAAATGCCAAACCTTTGACCAAACACAATAACTTGAGACTTTTTTATCATTTCCTTACTTAACCATTTCCCAAAAATAGATTTGATCTTGGCACGTGTCAAATAGCTATAATTTATTGAAGGATTAATAATGTAATTAATTCTTTGATATCTAATGAACTCTATTTTTATGATTTGTCTCAGTTGTAAAACCGTGAAAGGGGCAATATTTTCAAAACTTTTGATTAAACATTTTTCGAAGCTCTTTTTTGATATTTTCAGAACTTTGAAAATAAAAGAGAAAGAAAAAGCATTTTTTTTCAAAACAAGACAATCTCTCTAGAGTGGATCTTGGTAAATGACACGTGTCTCTCAAACACAAAGGTCATGCTTAGAATCAATGCTGAAGCAAGAAATGAAGAACAATGAAGGCATCTTTGAAGATTCAACATCAGATGTTGGGGCATTTTTTGAGATTTAACATAAAATGTTAGGGTATTTTTGAGATTCAGCATCGAATATTGGGGCATCTTTGGGAATTCAATATCCTGATGTGAATTATCAGATCTTCCGAAGGTCTTTCCTCCACGTGCAGGAACCAGCATACAAAAAATGAGATTTTGTCCGATGAATAAAATAAGAACTAATTCATTATGCATGCATTTTAGAGGATCATTTTTTTCACATACATAATCTTTGCAGCTTTAGAGTCAAGTTTCAACTTCAAGACGAAAGATACTCGATTCAAAGCACATTCAGAAATTGATGGTGGTTACTCAACTTCACAGCGAAGGGGCAACTATTTGTCGACAAATAACTTTTCAATTTTATTCAGAGTCAATTTCAACTTTACAGCGAAGGATATTGGACTCAAAGTGACATAATTTGCTCGAGAGTAGATTTCAACTTCACGACGAAGGATATCTAGCTCGAAGCCAAACTTCACAATAAAGGGGTCATCCACGGTTTTAACTTCACGGCGAAGGGAATCGTGTCCACCCGCAACATACAATACTTGGATTTCAACTTCACGACGAAGGATATCCAAGTCAAGGCTCAACTTCACGACGAAGGGGCCATCTGTGATTTCAACTCCACGACGGAGGATATCGTACCCACACATCCACGATTTCAACTCCACGACGGAGGATATCGTGTCATTTTGAGGCTCAACTTCACGACGAAGGGACTTCCCAGTTTCAGAGCCAATTTCAACTTCACAGCGAAGGATATTGGACTCGAGACAACACAAGTTCAACTTCACAGTGAAGGGACGGCTGATTGTCAACAAACAATTTCCCAGTTCCAGAGCCAATTTCAACTTCATGGCGGAGGATATTGAACTTGGAACAATACAACTTACTTGGATTTCAACTTCACGACAAAGGATATCCAATTTCTAGCTCAACTTCACGGCAAAAGGGGCCACACACGGTTTCAACTTCACAACGAAGAGAATCGTAAACACAAGCAGCATCCATCTCCGGATTGGATTTTAACTTCACGGTGAAGGATATCCAACTCAGAGAATGAGTGTCTGTCAAAAAACTTTCCAGCTTCGAAGTCAATTTCAACTTCACAGCGAAGGATATTAGCCTCAAAATAGCATACTGGATTTCAACTTCACGACAAAGGATATCCAATTCCAAGGCTCAACTTCACAACGAAGTGGCCATCCACGGTTTCAACTTCATGACGAAGGGAATCGTGCTCATCATTTCTCTCTTGAGACAGTTTCCAAGTTTTTTCTCTCTTGAGACAGTTTCCCTTGAAACAAAATCTTGTCTCTCTTGAGACAGTTTCCCTTGAAATAAATTTTGTCTCTCTTGGGATAGTTTCCCTTGAAACAAAATCTTTGAATATCTTTTCCTTGAAACAAATTTCGTCTCCCTTGAGACAGTTTCTTTTAGAACTAAGTTTTGTCTCTTTTGAGACAGTTTCTTTTGAAACAAATTTTATCCCTCTTGAGACAGTTTCTCTTGAAACACAAAAAAAAAACCCTCGAAATTATTTCTCTTGAAAAAAAAACTTTAAAAATGTTTCTCTTGAAACACAAAGCCTTCGAGTTCGATTACACTCAACTTCGAGGGCACATCATTTGCAGCATAACTCAAGGCTAGAAGGGTTATCTGTCAATAAAGACCTTCGAGTTTGACTACGCTCAGCTCCAAGGCACATCATTTGTAATATAACTCAAGGCAAGAAGGGTTATCAGTCATCAAAGACCTTCGTGTTTGATTATATTCAACTCAGAGGCAAATCAAATTTACAGCATAGCTCAAGGCAAGAAGGGCTATTTGCCAACAAAATTGTCGAGTTCGATTCCATTCAGCTCGATGACACATCAATCACACCACTTTCCTGTTGCAGTCCAGATTTTCAAGTTGAGAAGAAGCCCTGGATTAGCCGTGCCTTAGTGACAAACAACCATTTTCAAGCAGCATAGCTTATGTCAAGAAAAGCTATTTGTCAACGAAAGATTTTTGAGTTCGATTCTGATCCAAGAAGAAGACCGAAGGGCAACGAGAAGCCATGTGCTGATTCAAATTCCAAACTACGGCTTCAATACCATATCAAGATGAACTCGACTTCATGACGGAGGAGTCATCTGCAACTCAATTTGACAGGGAGTTATTGAAACATCAGAGTAAATTTTCAACTCCACCGAACGAAAAGTATGTCTTTTAATCTTTGCCCTATCCTCGTTACACGACTATGGGCAAAGAAGGGCAGCTGTCAACATACCTTTTAGTTCAGGTACAACACTCTCAACAACCCTGATTTAGTGGGATTCAGAAAACAAACATAGTGTTAGAGTTTTACTAGAATTCAAACTCCTAAAAATAGGATAGAGTTTTATTAGGATTCAAACTCCTAAAAATATGATAGAGTTCTACTATGATTCAAACTCCTAAAAATAGGATCCAGAAGCATTATAAATAGCCATTGTAACTCACTATTGTAACCGACGATTTACGTACAAAATACAGAGGAAAGCACGAAAAAATACAAAGGCAAAGCTATTGTAAACGATTCGAAAATGAAATAAAAGGTAGCATCTTTTTTACCTTAATTCGTTCATTTCTCGCATGTGCATGTTATTTTTCTTGAGATTTGGTTCGATTAACCCAAAATGTGGGTAGCGCCGATGACCAAAAAGGGGTGGGGAAGTTTTAAACCTAGATCTACCCTCGAGGCGTGTTCCTATTTTTAAATATTCAATTCTCCCCCCTAAATCAATTTTTTTCTTCAAAATTTGCCCATTTATTTGTTTTTCCTTTTGATTCGGTCCCTTACATTTACGTTTTAATTATTATTATCTTATTTATTTATCTTTATTTATACGCACATTTTTCTTATTACTCATTTTATTTAATTGCTTTGTTATTTTTATTTTTTTTCATGTAATAGTTTTTTACATTTTATGCATTTTATTTTTTACTTTAGTATATATTTTTATTTTTTTTAGATTACATATTTATATATGTTATTTTTTATCTGTTTTATTAATTTATATACACATTTACTATTTTTTTTATGTTTTTATTTATTATATATATATATTATTTTTACTTTTTTATTATTAATTTATTTATATATTTTTCTTCTTCTTTTTCTTTATTTTTTATATATTTTTTATATATTTTACTTACTATTTTATCTTTTCTTTCTTTCTTTCTTTATCTTATCTTTTATTTAATTTGTTTTTTTTCTTTATTTTAATTAATTAATTAATTAATTTCTTACCTTTTTATCTAAAATGGTTTCTTGACCTTCTTAAGGGCACACCTTTAAAACTATCTAAGGTAAGTAATTGGGATCGTATTTTTACCTTTTAATTTTAAATTACAATTTTCTTAATTTAAGACAACTGGAAATTGCGTAGTACCGAAAGGGCAGTTCAAGGGTGCTAACCCTTCCTTGACTGTAACCGACTCCCGAATCCGACACATCTTTGGAAAGACGTAGATCAGGTAAGAAATAGGGTATCCGATCAACCCATTTGTTTTAAAATAAATGATCGGTGGCAACTCTAATTCGTTTAATCTAAGTTGAAGCCTAAATTCGGGGTCCACCCGAAAGCCGGTTACGACAATATCAACAAACGTCTTGCCAAGTACAGACTGAACAAATACAATCGTGACTATTGAAAATAAAATATAACAATGATCGCTTAGAGATAGCCTGATAAATAAAACCATTAACAAGTGAAGCAACGACGTACATAAACTGAACACACCAATGGCTTCGAGCATCAAACATGGAGGAGAGACTTGAAGAAGAACCAAAATGGTCAACGAAAAAAGCGATCTCCCTTTAATATTGATCCCATCCGGCACATATAAGTTATAACCAACCGTGACGTACATAAACGAACCGTCTTGTACAAACGAATAGAGGAACCGATATCGGGAAAGCAATTAACCATGTATTCAACCTGAATTTGATCCGAGGTTCAAGCTGAAATTTATTCATTTCTATTTTGAAAAAATTATGACGTGTTTACTGTTCAAGCTGAGATTGATAGAATTTAAGGTCTTCTACATGAATTGGTGGATAAGTATGGATATAGAAATGGTAAGAACCAAGTAAGAGCAAAACCAAATATGTTGGTTTTTTCAATACCAAGGGCAAAGGAACAATGTTGAATGAGTTTGCTGAATTTGTAGAGCAAAATAATGATGCAATTTCAGAAAAATATGATTTGGACAGGTACTTAGAAACTGCCAACATACCACTTGTTGATGATTTTGATATTCTTAACTGGTGGAAAACAAATGGAAATAGTTATTCAACTCTCCAACAAATAGCAAAGGATATTTTGAGCATTCCTGTCTCCACTGTCCCATCAGAATATGCATTCAGTACATGTGGAAGAGTAATTGGTCCTTATCGTAGTCGACTACTTCCGGAGACGATTGAAGCATTAATGTGATCTAAAAATTGGCTTTGGGCCGATATAAGGTAATATTATTATTTAGTCTATGTTAGTTGTCAAATTGTGCTTAATTATCTTATTAAAGCTTAGTTACTAACTTATATTAGTTTTGCCTTCTATTATATATGTAGGTAGTAGTGAATTTAAATTGGAGCGCTCTCAATTGGAGGAAATAGAGAATAATGATTGTAATACTGGAGTATCACATGTCACAAGTATTGCCTGAAATTTGAGAATGTTGTGCCAAAGAACAAAAATATTATGTGTTTGTCATTTATGTTTCTAGGCTTTAATTATATATTTTATTATGGTGTTTTATGTACTTTAAGACTATATTAACACTTAACTCTGATAATCCTTGGTTTATTTTATTACTCTTCTTAATGGACGTGTTTGTTTTATATTTGTTGCTTATGTATAACTTAAGTTTGCTGTCAAGCAGGTCTAGCCGAGTACGTCTCCAGTTGGGTAGTGGGTGTGAGGATGAATTTGAGAATGTACCCGCGTGGGGGTGTAGATTTGAAAATTTTTACCCATCATGGGTAGTGGACGAGTAGTGGATTAAAAAATATTAGGTGGGTATGGGGATGGAGGAGGGGTATCCGCACCCGATCCGCCCGTTTGTCATTCCTATATTCAGGGAAAATAAAATACCGAGAAGAAGACCAATAAAAACAAACATGCACCAAGAGTCAAAAAACACCGGTAGCCATGATACCATTTACAAGAAAAAGGGTCACGAGAAATTATTATTATAAAAATGATAAAATAGAACTAAAAATGATAGGGTGGTGGCCGGAGAAGATGTCTAAAAATGATAAAATAGCTATATTATTTCAGGGATATTAATATGCTAAAGGGAGCAAGTTGTCTAATGCCTAAGAAATAAAAGGGAATGACATTCCTTATAGAACACCCAAAAAAATACTACTGTGAGAAATACTTTGTTATCTCTGAGAGAAAATGCTCTTAAACTAAACGTGAAAATGTGATTTTAGAAGAAAAAAATTATTTCCCCCGATAATAATATGTTTCGTGAATCAAACACTCCTAAATGTATATTTGCTAAATAAAACCATAATAGATATAGAGAACTAATTTCTTTAAAGATAATGTTATGTACATTATTTTTAAAAGTTACAAAAAATTATCCAAGATTTAATTAATAATCCACACTAAGATGAAATGATGATGAGAAATGTAAAATATGTTCATAGACTAATCAAAGTTATTAGTAGTCAAATCAGACTAGTTATATGAATATAAAAATTGTTTTCCTCTCATCCAATCCCCTTCATTCTTTCGATGATTACACCAATCATCATAAGATTTAAATTGAAGATGTAATATTCTAAATATATTTGATAAAATAAAATATCATTAAAGTGATCTCTTTTTCTAAAAGTAAATTATTAAAAAAAATCAAGATAGTTATATAGTTATGATTCATGAGATTATTAATTGATTAAAAGGAACGTTAATATATGATAGAATTTTAACGAATCTGGTCTTAAATGTGTTACAATTATAAGGTCTTTTATATGAGTAATATGTTTTTTCAAAAATTAATATATTATTCGACGTAATTTATCTTCAATGTTTAATTACTATAATGAGAGTACTACTTATTTTTCGATAAAATATTACATGTTTACATATAAGAAGTCTGATAAGTTAGTGATCATCAGGTATACATGCAAATTTTTTATTGGAATACATATGTAAAATTTTGTTACATAGACTAATTATATTGAATATAAAGACCATTAAAGTTAATTTGCTATAATAAATTTGTCATCAGAGATTATCCAACTAGAGCATTACACGGGACCATCATAGTGGCTATCCCAAAAAATTTCTTTAAAACACATGGAAATCATCCTTTAAATACCATAAATTGAAATCATAAATAAAAACATAACCGCTCAAAATTACAAACGGGGAGATCCCAAATACGTTCCAAAATAATAAAATTTAAATATTTCAAAATAGAGTTATGTCTCCCTCTAATAAATGATTCAAGACGTACTTTACTGGTGCTCTGAAAGTCTAAAATGTCAACTGTGCGATAAGCTCCTCGATGCTCCTTCTATGAACCTATGCACGGAAACAAATTTTGAACGCTGAGCTCACAAGCTTAGCGTCACACTAATAACCAAACTATACTACATGCGTCAACTACATGGTCATTCTAGCAAGCAAAGACATGAGCATACAAGTATGTTAAACACAAATGCAGAAGTAGGCATCATGGTGTGATCGGAGGGTTCACTACATCCTGGGACACACATCCCTCTAGCCTACCTAGGGTGAGATCCAAAATTTCTGCATCAAAAACATACAACCGAACGACTTACTCCTTGTGAGTACATGGGGCATCTACGCCCAACCAACGACTGAAGTGCCTTGGAACTAATTGAGATATATCTGAATATTCTAAACATGCAAGACGATCATCAAATTGCTAGAGTAACTTAGGTTTCCTAACGATTTCTTTAGCATCACACAATGGCTAGTTTTATGTCACCTTATTTCATAACATTTCTAAATGTAGTTGTATTCATTAATTGTTCTCATTTGTAGTTTTATTAATGAAGTTTTGGTTTTATTAGACCCCTTTCCAAACCCCTTGATCAAATTGAGTTTCTTAACCAATTCAAGACAAAGGTATCGATACTAAGCATTTGAGTATCGATGTTGATCTTTGATTACCGCTACTCACCCTTGGTACCGATACCAAAAATGGCTATTGGAATATAAGAAAATTGACAGTATCAATACATTTAATTAAAGTATCAATACTTCTGTACTAGGTTATCACCACCATCCTAAGTATTAATACCAAATTTGGGTTTGATGTTTTGGAAATTAACTCAGTATCAATACCCCTACTTCACATGGTATTAGTACTCCCATGAGTATTGATATAAAAATGGCTATTGAAATTTGACATCTGAAGATGGTACCAGTACCCTACCCTTGGTTATCAATACCCAACGAAAAAAATTGATACCCTATGAAAAGAGTATCGATACCACTAGCCAAAAATCCCTCGATTTAGGCTATGTGAAGAAGTATCGATATTGTTAATCTAATATCGATACTCAAACCAAGAAATGCCTTGTTTTAAGCACGAAAATGACACCTAACTCTACCCATTTACCATTATAAGGCCCTTAAATATTATTTAAGTCTTATATATGATTATTTTTTTAAAGAAAAATGGGCCTTATAAAAAAACCATCCTAACCAACTCTAGAGAGCTGGCCCTATGAGTGGGAAAAGAGAGCCCACTCTATTAAATTAGATAAAGCGCACATCATTTGATACCTCCACAGAGATAATATTGGGATAAATTGAGTTAAAATACATCAAATTCAAAGAATGTAAGGCCCACTTGGAAACTTTATCCGCTACAATATTACATGTACGTTGAACTGAGGAAATAAAGAAACCTGGAAAATCCTTGAACCTTTGTTTATTCATATGAAGAAAAGTTACAACAATAGAAATGCCTTCCTCATCTCGCTGGATTTTATTAACTAGAACGACATAATTTGATTCAAAGTGAACGTTATCCCATCTAGTACCGATACCCAAACCCAAAAATACCTTGTTTTGAGCATGAAAATGACATCCCAAATCTACCCATTTTCCCCTCTAAGGCCCTGAACTTTATTTAAGTCTTATCAATTGAAGTGATTATAAAAGGTCAATTTTCATAATGAATAATACCATAACTGAAATCTACCATAAATGTACTCATATGTTTCATGAACTCATGCAAGCTAACTAAGAACATATAATAGAGTGTTGTTTCTCATCAAAATAAAAATAATCTTCTTCAAATAAAGTAAATAAGTAGTATAGTAAAGAGGGTCAATCAACAGGAAAATTAGAATTTCTAATGCAAATGTATGTTGATTTCAGACCAGTAAGCTGTAACAAAAAATAAAAATAAAAAGGGTAGGCATGATTGAAATAAAGTAAAATAAAAAGGATATAAAATAAATTAAATAAAATTGAAAGAAACAGTAAATTAGGAAAAAATAAAAATGTGTTGAGAAATGACAATGAGAAAAATCGTCTCGAGCTAGTTTTGTTTCAATTCCATTGATCATCAAAATGGATTTTTGCTCCGTGATTCATCTCGGCTACAATCTACAAGGCCCAACCCATTGTAACTTGCTCTTCTCTCATGTAACTGATCTTCCCAAGTCTATCTTCAAAAGATGATTCTTGAGTGGAATAACATAGGTATTGTCGTCAAAACAATCAAGTTAAAAACTGGAATGGCCCAATTCCGATTATGTCATCTCATCGAGAATCGAATCTGATCTCGTTTTTCCTTAGCGAACCGCTGTTAAGTGTGTTCATAGGGAGTCAAATTGCCACATGTCGATCCTTCCTCCTAACTATATATTTAAACAACATCTAGATCAAACGATATTTTTTTATTTGAAGGTGCTTAAAATTTGTCAGTAAGGCCGATTTCTAAACTAATAAACCAGAAAAACGAGAATAAATCCAGAAGGGGATTAAGTGTTGTTCAATTCTCAAGCATAAGCATGGAATTGATTCATTACTAGCTCTCGGCTTAAAGGAAATTATCTAAGCATGATACAGATCGTACTTAGCATATTTGT